AATTTTAAAGTTAACCATTTTATGAAACAGACATAAACCACTGGAGTGTTTAATGTGACCAAAGAAAGAAATTATTTTTGATCATATTTTTTCTGTTTAGATTAGTGTTAGGGTTAGCCTAAAGCAGGGGTCTCCAACTCCGGTCCTGGAGAGCTACTTCCCAGTAGGTTTTCTGTCCCACTTGGCTTCTGATGAGCCACACCTGCTTCCGGTATTTATCTGAGAACAGGTGTGGCTCATCAGAAGCCGGGTAGGATAGAAAACATACTGAATGGTAGCTCTCCAGGACCGGAGTTGGAGATCCCTGGCCTAAAGGCTAGATCTATGATTAGGGTTAGGGTTAGGTTTAGGTTTGGCATTAATACTAGAACTAGGGGTAGGGTTAGCACAAAGGCTAGCTCTAGGGATTTCACTAATGCCCAAGCTACGGTTAAGGTGAGCATGTACTGTAGATTAGACCTAGAAATAGATTTAGCAAAAAGACTTGAGTTTGGGTTAGCTTTAGGATTAGCAGACATCCCACTTTAGGCTTACTGTTAGGGTTAAGGTTATGTTTAGGGATAGTGTTAGGATTAAGGTTAATATTATTGCTAGGATTGAGTTTAGTGTTAGGGTTAGAGTTAATATTAATGCTATATCTAAGGATAGAGTTAGGATTAAGGTTAATATTAATGCTAGGATTAAGGTTAGTATTAGCATTAGGGCTCTCTTAGAGCTAGCATGTGAGCTAGAGCTACCTACTGTTAAAATTCCACATATTATTGTATAAAGCGGGATCCTCTTTAAAATAAATTAAGACCTGTCTTTAATTTTCCCAGGTGTTCCCAGGCAGTTCCAAGGTCATAGTACTGCAGAAACACTGATGCCCCTCCAGAATGGTGTTAAATTTACACGTACTGTACTCTACCTCCTGATTTAAATTGAAGCATATTGTACCTCCTAATTTAAATTTAAATGTACTGTACCTTCTCTAAATGTGGTAGATGATGATGATTATGATGATGATGATGAAGTGATTTTGTTCAAATCCTGACTTCCTTTCAAGATTATGTGACCTTCATCACTGCAGCAGTGAGTGGCACCGTACTGCTGTTCGCACTATCTGTGCTGATAATCTACAAACAGAGGAAGGCCGTCTCAAAAAATTCACCAGGTATGTTTAGCGATAAATGTGAACCAGCAGACAGCCATAGACGTACATGTGATCAATGAGACTCACACAATCAATGGTGATTTTGCACGCAGGCGAATGCACACACAATACTGAATAACAGTTACACTTTCACAAGGCTACCGGCACATTTTGCCTCCTTCAGTGTAGTGCTCACTTTTATAAAACAAAAAAAAATGTTCTGCAGTATTGAGGGACCCTGTAGCAGAATGCTTTACTGCCCACTGTCACTTTATTTCTATGTGGGACGACAAGGAAACCTGCGTTCTGTGACCTGAGTGGATGATGCGGCTTGTAAACTTGAAGTAGTTCTGCTAGGTAGGCAGGCGTTAGACCCACTATATCTAACTTGGAGAATTTCGAAGTTGGTCCTGAACCTAACAGGAAGTCAGTGCAAGGAATTAAGAGCAGGGGTTATGTGTTCAAACTTCCTGCTTCTGGTGACAATTCAAGCTGCTGCATTTTGAATTCACTGCAAAGTGTTTAATGTGCAGTGTGTGCTCTCAGATAACAGAGCGTTACAGAAGTCTAACCTACTGTATAAAAAAGCATGTATCAGTTTCTCAGTGTCTTGAATAGTAAGGGAACATCATACAGTAGTTTGGCAATGTTACGTATAGCTGTAGGAAGCACATCCCCGACACTGCATCTACATGTGATTCGAATGAGAGACTCATATCTAAGATGATGCCTGGGTTACGGCTGAGCTGCTAAGGGAGAAGCCCCGCAGGGCGGAGTGTGGAGATTATAGCAAGTCTAGTCACAGACTTGCCTCCAAACAACAGAACCTTGGTTTTCTCCACCTTCTCTCCAGTACATGCCTGGAATCTCCATTCTTTTTTGCCAAATCTACCACCATCTGCTTTTCCACATTCTTCTCCGTGACACTGTATGTACCCTGACTGTATGTATCTCTGGACAATCCCCCCATATCTTCTCCTCCATCACCCAACATCTAAAGCTCTGACTCTCACCTCCACACTCCCTTCCTCATCTCCTGCTGCCTCTGGATACGGCTTCCCTCTCCTTCTTCTTCTCCCAACAGTAGTAAAGTTTCCACTGGTACCCTGCTGGCCAACTGTACTGGTGGTGCTCATTGTTAACTCAAGGCCATGACCGATCCAGTATAGAAATCAGGTTTATAATCCGCACATTTGATTTAGCACAGGTTTTATGTCAGATGCCCTTCCTGATGCCACCCTGCCCAGTTTATCCGGGCTTGGGACTGGCACTAAGAGTACACTGACTTGTACAACGCCGGTAACTGGGTTCTCAGTACTAAATGAAATTATTATATGAAATTTGACATGAAATATTATGAAAGTTGCAACTAATTTCTGGCATTCTCCACAGAAGCTACCTTCACAAGCACTGTCAACACAGAATATGGAGACTCAAGAAACAACAGAAGGGTGAGTAGCCCCCCTATGGGCAGGAAGGTCAGCGCACTGTGCCGTAAGGGACTCTGGGAAGGTGACATGCTGCGAATGCGGCTTACAAACTGTGACACTGCGGGTGCAGGCTACAATCTGCCGGGTTACACAGATCTGCTTGGAGAACTGACTCACTGATGGACTCACTGATTTATGAAAGCTAATTTTCCTTGAACTCGAAATGTTTTAATGTCAAGCAGCTTGTCCTCAAACCGCCAGAATTATTTTTGGCTATTCTCCTCCATTTTCTTCTTCCTTCCTTCATTCCCTTTTCCTCTTTCATGAACAGTTTTTAAAAATGAAGTGATTAGGGTCCAAAATCAAAGTGAGTTGCTGTTATCTAATTGTGTGTGTGGTCCTGTGACCCTGCATAGGACGGGCAGGTATACAATTTTCGCAGCTTGTCAAGTACCTTGGGGTGAATTGAGAGCTGTTTGCTTGTATGATGACTGCCCTTGTGTGCATGACAATGAAAAAAACTTAATCACTTATTGTGTCTTTTTGTTTTGACATTGTTTAGGCCGAGCGAAACAACGGGATGTCTGTGAATGAGCCTGATGCAGATACTTTTCTCACTTCTGACTTAAGTTCCCCAGAGAACAATCACATCTATTCAAACATTCAGTGCAATCATCTTCAAACTGATCCCATCTACCTAAACTATAACCTGATCACCTGACCTCACTGACATTTTACACACTAAAATGTATGCAGCAGTTATCAACCTGTTACTGATTTTTGCAAATTAACCAAGAAATGTTGAGTAAACATTTTTTAAGACTCAAGAGACTCGAGAGTTCTTTATTGTCAACACATCCAAGTACACATTGTATTGAAATGCCGTTTCCCAAGGTGCTCTCTGTGGTGCAAATAAAATAAATAAATCTACAATATCCACATCCACATTACATTATATACAATATAAGTATAACTATTTCGCTTTCTTAGTATAAGGAATGTACCCTGACACTCTTTTCGTGGTTTGATACAGGTATCCCCCTATCTGTAACTAGAATGGTGTAAGGAGAACTAGCAATTACTAGCATTTATTTGGGGAATTTTTTTTAACGTTCCCGAACCAAAACAATAACCTACCAAATCATACCAAATAACGTAAAACATAAAATTACACCAAAACCCGGAATGATATGATAAACACACAGCCTACATAAAGTCGAAATAATGTGTGTACAGTGTAGTTTAGCGCTAAAAGTAGTCCTTGAGTCTGGGAGAACTAAAACATAGTCCAGAGGACTCTAGGACACTAAGACCAATTCACAACCAGTAACAAAATGGCTGCTGTCAATCCACATCGCAATGTCTTGATAAAATTACATGAACGCTGAATTGTTTAAAGAGTACAGCCTCAGTCGAGAGGGAATAATCATTGTTGAGGAGCTTGTGAGGGATGCAATCCCATCTCCAAAAAACGGAAACAACCCAGTCATATATACAGTGGAAACCGCTTATAGTGATCATTATAACTGATTTTATTTTTTTATTTTTCTTTATGTGTCAGGCAGATTATCATCTAACTGACATTTGTATATTTATTACATGAATATAAGGTAATAAAACGGACAGCGTCTCTACTGAATTTTACTGACTCATTCAAAATGCAGTTGTTTCAAATGCATGGGTGGCGCGGTGGTGCAGTGGTTAGCACTGTTGCCTCACAGCAAGAAGGTCCTGGGTTTGGTCCCAGGGTGCCTTTCTGTGTGGAGTTTGCATGTTCTCCCCGTGCATGTGTGGGTTTCCTCCCCCAGTCCAAAGACATGCCGATTAGGCTGACTGGCTACTCTAAATTGCCCATAGAAGTGAGTGTGTGTGGCTGTTTGTCTGTGTTGGTCCTGTGGTGGACTTGTGACCTGCCCAGGGTTGTCACTCGCCCGATGATGCTGGAATTGGCTCCAGCTTCCCTGCGACCCAGATGGATTAAGCAGTATAGATGGTGGATGGATGTTTCAAATGCTTTTTTAATTACTGAACTTCATATAATTCAAATATGCGATAACACAGCGCTGTACATAAAATGTACCTTAATGCTGTGTCTCGTTGACTCGGTTTTGGCAGTTTATCATAAGCTATGAGTCTATATTTATTATTGACAGAAAATCCATCCATCCATCCATCAATCCATCCATCCATTTTCTGAAACCACTTGTCCATCTCGGGGTCAGGGGAGTTCCAGAGCATATCCCAGAGGCTAAGGGCACAAAGTGGGGAACAACCCAGGATGGGGCACACAAAATCATTCCATTTTGTAGTTTTTCAAGTAGGGACACCACATAAATGGTGTAAGTTTTCCAGTTATGATACACATTTACATGAAATTATTTATCAGACATTTCTGTCCAAAGGAACTAGTGCATGATAAGGATACAGCTTTCAAGGAGTCAGCTAAACATTACTGTGGCCTGAACTTCCACAAAACGCCAAGGAGCACATGCAATTTCTCATTGGAGTGAGAGCTATACAATATGATACAAAATATTTCATGAAAAAGATTCATTTAAATCACAGAGGAAAGACAAGTGAAAAATCTAAAACAAGAAAAGCAGGTTGTTAAGGTCTCTGCAGAATCAGAGGCAGCGACTACAGCAGCTATACAGGAAGCTGTTCTGAATGCGTATGTTAGAATAGAGGTCAGAGTTTGTGTCAATCTGAATACATCCCACTAGCGTGAATGCCCCCCCCCCCCCCCCCCCCCTGCCCCACTACCACAACAGCCCCCCATATGGGCACCACAGCAACGGTATTACTAGAGCAAAGTTAAACATGCACTTCGTTCAGGTTTCAGTTTCCTCTTTTGAATTTCTAACTTTCCGCAGATAGACAAAAAGATTTTTGTTTGAACAGAATTATAATAATGTCAGTACATTTAATTTATATAGCGCCTTTCTCAAACCGAAGGTCACTTTAAAAAATCAGTAAAAGCTCAGTAATACAATACTACAAGTCAGCAGACTACATAACATTTCTAGATAAAGCCATTTAAATCACAGAGGAAAGACAAGTGCAGAAATGTAAAGCAAGAATAAGATTGTTAAGGTGTCTGAGGGAAAGACGGTGGCTTTACTTTGGAAGGAAGTAAGAAAAGTGTCACATTGCCGCAGAGTGGCAGGTGATGTAAATACAGGAGCATTAACAAGCCTTTTTATAGTAGAAATGGGTTATAGGCCCACAGTTATAACTATTGATGACTGATGAATAATAGGAAGTAAGAGCATCATTTAGAGAAGACCTTCATTTTAGTATACAATACCAGTCAAAAGTCTGGACACACCTCCCTATTGAAAGGTTACTTGTAGTATTCTCTACATTTTAGAATATTTCTAAAGATATCAAAAGTATGAAATAGTATTTAATGACGTATGCAATTATGCATGGACTCAGATGGTTGTGAAATGTGCAAATATGAAGGGGTTACTTCACTCTACGCTGAAGGAAGAAAGTGCAATCTACATAAGGCTACCGCTGATTTAACAAAGATAAGATTGATTGGCAACAGATTTTTAAGAAACATTTCAGTTCATTCTGTGAAAGTTGGTAGGGCTAGGGTTAGTGCTTGGTTCTGGCCACGGGGAGAACCCTGGTTAAAATAATTTAAAATAATTTTTAATCTCTAAAACCCAGTTGCAGCTATACACTACACCAGCAGATGGTGCTGTTCAGTTACAGCTGAGGTACAGCTCTGTCATTCAGTAGTCTACCAGATAATTGTTTATTTGGCAGACAAGATGAGGGGCATTGAAGCTAATATACTCAGGGGGGTGGGGTATTTAAAGCTGCATACAGGCTGCAGAT